CTGCTGCCCAGGGCTGGGAGGAGAACCTGGTCCATTTGATCGCTATGAGAGAGCATTTGTGGTGAAATAGTGGCAGGGAAAAATGTCTATTTGAGGCCCTCATCCTCTGAACAATCAGGGCAAGTCACTTGAGCTGGGCCAAAAAAAGCAGGGATGGAGCTGGGAAGTTCTCCTGGTCTCCAGGGCCTCAAGGAGACCCTGCAGAGGGAGCTTTCCTGACGCTGCCTTGGTTTGCTGAGCTCACCAAAACCAAGGAATGTTTTCATAAAGGGGGATTTTAAGCTTTCAAAGCTTATTTTTCCTTCTCAGGGGTAATGTAACTTGCCCTTTCATTGAGTGATCTCCAGGAAACCCTCCGTCCCAAAATAACATCCCTCATCCCAATGGGGCAGAGCAGGAGCTTGGACTGGGTCTGTGTTCCCAGGCGAGCTCCCTGCCCACAAATTGCTGGTGCCTCGCTCGGCACCTCGTCCTGCTGCAGGAACTGAACTTTTCCCCACAAAAAAACCCCAACAAATCCCATCTGTGCTTCTGCCACCCCCAGAGAACATCTGAAAATGTTGTATCTCCAAGGTCTCCTAGAGAGGTGTGGGGTCTCCTTCTCTGAAGACATCCAAACCCCTGGATGTGTTCCTGTGTGATCTTCTCTGGCTGACCCTGCTCTGGCAAGGGGTCAGACTGGGTGATCTCCAGAGGTCCCTTCCAACCCCAACCATGCTGCGATGCTGTGACCCTCTTTTTGTGGCAGCAAAGTGCCTGGAGGCAATAGGGACGGAGCAGATCCATACTGAGGGACTGTGAAAGGGACATGCTAAATCCTGTGGGATCCAGAAGATTAAAGAAGACGGAGGGGAGACACAGAAAAACCCATCCCCAGCCTGGAAATCCCATCCTGGTGTTTCTGGGAGATGTGAGAAGCCCGGCACACCATGAAGTTGGAGACTGACTTGATTGCAGTGTTGAAATAGCTGAGGACTTATTGATCAAGAAGTGCAGAAAGGGCAGAAGCAGCAGTAGCTGAGAGTGGTAACCTTCTTCCAAATTTAAATAAAAAACCCCAAAAAACTACCATTAACATGGGGAGAGCTCAGGGCCTCCTTCCTTCCAGAAGAAATGCAGCTGAGCAGCCAGCATTTGCTATAAGTGATGGGAGCCAGGAGACGCTTTTGGGCTGGGTGAGCCGTTCCAGCAGCTGCAGCAGCCCTTTGCCAAATGAAGCACGTCCAACCCATGCTGACAGCTTGTTCTGAGCTAAAGCAGGTTGGACTTGGGGCTTGGGGATGCGCAGATGGTTTTTTTTCTTAAAAGGCTCTTGTGGTTTGAGAAGATTTGCGTAGTTCGAGGTGGAGGATGTCTGGGAATTATCACCCACCCCCAGGGAGAGCTGAGATATCTGACTGAAATATGTTCTTGCAAATAAACTAAACCAGATTTCATCTAAATCACATTTGAGTCCACAGCGCAGTCCCTGACCCTTCTGCAGGATGTGGGCACTGTGATGGAGACTTTGCCAACAGCATCCTTCAAAGGACCCTATCAGCCACGTTAGCCCCTGGGGCAGCAGGACAAAGCCGCCACCAGAAATAAACATTCTTCCTGTTCACAGAAGAGCAGCCCCCTCCCACCGCAAGTGCACAGAAAGGTGCTGGAGATTTCTGGGGCTGTTTCACAAAACGGAAGCCAAGTTTCAGGTGCGATTTGGGCTATGCAGCCTCTGTTGCCCAGCCCTCAGCGAGCCCAGTTTTTGGGCTGCTTAGTCTTTTCTAAATGGGCAGGTCCCTTCAAGGTTGAGGAAGCTGACCACAATGCCTAGATGATTTTAGCTCAGTTTCTTAAGAAGAAAAGTTTGTGTAACCTCACACGACATCTTCCTTCCCTTTTCTCAAAGGTCCCAAATCTGTGGGCTGGTTTCTCTCCCACTCAGCAGTGTCTCAACTATTAGAAGACTGCCAGTCTTGCAAAGATACAGTTTGGGGCATAGCAGACTTCCTCAAATCCGCCTGCTTAGAGAATGAACTCAACCTGTAAGCAAAACCACCCAAGAAAACAGAATTTGTGGTCTCCCTGCCCTCTGCAAGTAACCTGCTGGATGGTGAAATTAATCAGGTTTGTGTTTAATTTACGGGTCCCCTGGGCAGGCAGACTGATATACCAAGCAGAGCTGAAAGATCACGGATGCTCAGGTGCTTCAGGCTGACACTTTGAGCCTGTAGAGCATCCATTGCACCTCTGCCTGGGGTGGCAACTTGCCTCTACCAGCTCTTCCTTCATCCCACTCTACTTTGACCAAAACTCATGGCCAAATAGACCCCAAGATCTGAGAGGTTCAGGGCAATCCCTAGAGATGTCCATGTTAACACCGGAGTAAACCAGCCAGGGACCTGCAGAAAGAGTTGCTCCATCCCCAGCGCTCTTAAGTGGATCTCTGCCCTTCACTTTGGCCTGGAGGGAGGTGGTGGTACCTCAGATGGATGGAGAAGTCCATAATGGAGAGGCACCAGGAGAATTACTGGGACAAATGGCTGGGTTTCTAAAATCAATAAGTTTTTCTTTATTTAAGGAAAGGGAACATAAAATCCAGAGTAAAGCTCAATGGGAGGGCACGGGAGCCTTGGGGATTTCTGCACATCCCATTGCCAGCTCCAGGGCACACAGCCCAGCCATGAGGGCCACCAGACCCTGGGAGCGGGGATCACCCCCTGAACCGGGCTTTCGGAAGGGTCTCCATGGAGGATGTAAAACCTCGGTGGGACATAGAGGATGGTGGGCAGGAGCTGCCCCAGGAGGTCCCAATGGAGGACGAGGGAACATTGCCATGTGAAGAAGTGATAGAAACACCTGGCTTGAGGCTTTGCTATTGCCCCTCCATTCTTCTGCTGGTCTGCTAGGGCCAGGGCGCTGCCCACCCTTTGGGCCATGCTCGTGGGCCTCCGCTAGCCACTGCGTGGCTACCTCAGCCCTGCTGGCGTTTTCAGTAGATATTTAGCTTTCAAGTTTGTTTGGGTTTGAGCCTGGGGCCCTTTTCCGTGACAAGGAAGGGCTCTGAACCAAAAAGCAAACAAAGGTGGAAATGTT